TAGCAAACGGGGGATCGATGCCGACTGATCTTGCAAAAGCTGGCTAGCAATTGAAAGCTGGCCCGTTCGAAAAGTAAAGCTAGTCGACTCCCGAAACTACGACGCACCATGGTCTATTCTATCAAAGCAACAGTGTTCACTGACCGGAATAGAATCGACCAGTAGTGTTTATACTGCTTTCCGGCCCCTGTGTCTTCTGACTTAGCTTTCTATCGAAAAGAACCGCATCCGTTACGAAGAAATTCTCCTATAAGAACTTAGCATGCGAAGGCCTACAAAACACAGGCTATGACAATGGATTAAATGTCAGAATACGAATATACGAATGTCCTCCTATCTATAAATGGAAGTAATATTTTTCATATATTCGTATATTCACTTTTGCTCGAACTCCTTATTTTCGTAATCTTCATTCCGCTATCCTTTGACAATATATCTCGTAAACTACGCTACGATAACCTATTCAAGGGTCCGCTTGTGTAAATTATCCGAGATCGACTGGCTCGTCGATAATCTAACGCCCTCGCATAGTAGCATAGTGTCCAACACAAGCATCGTACTCGTTCCCATTTGGTTGATTTTTGTATTGACAGTAGCTCCCTATTGAAGCTCGGTACGTTTACACGTTACATGCACCTGCTTGAATGTGAACACTCGCAATTCAACGGTTGTTACAATTCAGGACTTTCGCACACACACAAATCAGCATTACTTACGTTTGGGTCACATCGACAAATATTTATAATTGTACGGTATCAGCGTTGTGAGCTAAATAATAACTCTCACGCGGCGTTCTAGTGAGAATGGTGGATACCACTTTGTATGGTCGAATTAGAAAAATTACATATTGAACACGAAGGTCTAGGACGACTGGTTGAATTGTGTTTTGTACACAGTTATGCGCGGTCGGTCTTTTTCCTCACAGAAACGGTGAATAACTACCTTTAATAAGACCAAGTCTGGATCAAGTGAGTTTTCGTGGTTGGTGGAGCGTAGAAAATAATGGCCTGCTATGAATCCGTCGAGTATAACCTTACTAGTATAGATGTAGATTGCTGTCATTAAGTAGGGCTCGCTGTTTCAAACTAGTCTTTCTTTTGGGGATCTACTATTTTGTTTAACGCAGCCAGCAGCTGCGCGTAGAGTTGCTTTCCTCCAACTGCGATCTCAGTTTCGAGTCCGGCTCATCAGTAAGCCACCAATGGTTACATTGAATCATTAAAAACGACGCGCTTCGCTGAATACTTTGTGTGTGGGTGTTTACATGTACTACACATTGCGATTTCAATATACAATGCTAAGTCCGTTTCTCTATAGTGCCTTGAACTGAGCTCACGCAGAACATTTTTGCTGTCTTAACTGACGTCGAGGCTACGTTCAAGCCTTACAACGTATCTATTAGTAAAAGTTCAAATAGGCGCTGGTCCGTATTATCGTTCCCTCAGAAGTAGAACTAACCACATAATGACAGCGTATCCCAGAAAGAGTAAATGACATAGACCCCACTGGGTTAACTTCCAATAAGTTCGAAGCAGTAACTTAAACCATTATGCACGACGCAAACGCGCGTGTAAAAGAAGAAAACCTGACAAGTATTCAGTTCGCTTATATAATTACCTCTTCTATAACAGATAAGAAGCGAATTAATGGAACTTCCACAATCTTCTTTTTTGTCTTCAGGAATTCTTTTCGCCACAAACTGAAGCGCCATTGCGAGATACTAATCATTCATTAACGTCTGAACAAATGCTACTCTATACTTCTGCTCTCCCTTAGTTTTTGGATGCTGCTGACACCCACTGACCTCGCCATGCGTCTAAACAGGCACACAGGCGCCTACATAAAAACTAACAATATGGTTATCATCTTATTGTTGTTATTGTTATCATTACCATCATCGTCGCCGTAAGCTGGATGCCAGCACCATACTAGAATGTGGTCGGCCGTTGTTGGCATTCGTTGCCGAAAAGAACTGGCACTAACGATCGTCACAATCACTGATCCAACTGACTCTCGCTGCAAACATCCGCAGACGCTCGCAAATTGGCAATGACCGCTGTCAGTCAGATGAGCACTGACCATTGACATTATTATGATACCGCCAGTCCAGGTGGTATTGGTAATGGTCACGACGGTAGTTTTGCCAAAGCGAGGCGAAGCGAGTTGTCGCGGGCGCATGAATGAGTTCGGGTTTGTTCCAGTAACGGCCTGTAGAGCCTTTTTATTGCGTAGGACACTAGGTAGTGGCTTCTTGCCATTAGTGGCGTCGACAGGGTGCCCCCAGTGAAGTTCTCGCCAGGTCTACCGGCTGAGAGGCTAGCGGAAAACAGATTCTCGAGGTGAGCCCGGCCAGACCTTACCGCCTACGTCCGCGTTAATCGCACGTAGCACTGCCTGCTACTAGTGGGTGCTCGTCCTGCGAAGTGCCTGTCTGCTCTGTGCACGATTCTTGTATTTGAGCTGAGAACTAGCTATTACTATGCTATAATCCGAGCAAGCGTCGACAATAGTAAGCTTGTAGAATCTCTTAAAAAACATGAATCCACTCTAACGTGTTGGGAATGCCGTGATATGATAGATAGCGACAAAGAACAGCAACAAGAATAGCTATTCGCTAAGAAGGGTTAAGATGATAAATACTTTTTACGCACGTACGTCGTTAATTCATACGGCGACAGGTTGACTATGAAAGAAGTTAACCCTAAATCAATGACAACGACGATAGCGATCAGATATACTACCATCTTAATGAAAGTAGCGCGGCTACGATGCGCACAAGGCAAACAATCAGCCATTGTAAACAAACGGTTCGCTAACAGAAAATGATCATCTATTTTACTCGATCATAATCAGCAAGTGCCACCGGATTTATGTTGTTTCTATTATATATTAAAAATTCGTGCCAATTCAAAACATAGTGCATAGGTTTTTTTACTAGTGCTTTTGGTAGGAGTCTTTTTTGCAGCTGTCAACTAGAATTCGTTCGCATCCATGTTAACAATAAGCCACTGCCACGGACACGACCACTTACAAGGATAGTGGTACGGAGAGAAACTTGAAGTAAACGCAAATCACAGATTTAGACTCACTGTAAATTTAATTTCGCATGAATTCGTGAAAAGCATCTGTTAGCATTCCAAACACAGGAAGTCTTTATTAATTTTAGGTTTTTTTTGTTGTTCGATGACGTCGGCTGAAACTTACCTTATCTAATGTTTTCAACTGTGTACATATTTACACATTTCTGACAGCAAAAAGGTCGATGGATACGGCAACCGCTCTTACGAAGATATGCAGACGTTAACACTCGTGATAGATTATCACCGCCATTGTGTGTATTGCTAATTGTTCATATAGGCCGTGATTAGATCACTCGCTTCTATGTGACAATGTTCAAGTTCCAGCGGGATCCTATTAACAGCGTCGTGCTATATGGCAGATAGGATGCAAGATACAGTAGGAATAGTTAAGGTTTTCTAAGTTTAGAAGGAATACGAAAATTATGTCATCGTTCCACGTAGTAGAACAGGATTTCGCTATCATTTTGACGCACAGAATGCTAATCAAGCTAGAGGTCGCCATAAACAAATTTTCTAGATAAAAGCACGAATAGAAAAATGGCGATATTATATCAGACATTCCTTAGTCTGGCACCTTTACATAGGTGTGCTTACATAGAAAACCCTTGAAGAAAATTAATACAGACCGTTCCGTAAGCACTCCCTTTTATTCCTATAACAGCGGAATACCGCAACTAATAGGTTACACTTGGGTTCCCAGAAGTAGAAAAAGAAACACCACACACAAAATGCTATCGTACGCATGGCCAAAACAAAGAAATATATAATCGTTGCTCCCGACGAATTCCTTTGCAAAAACACAAAACAAAATTAATTTTCTATGCGACCAACGTATTATTATTCTTTAGGTACACAGCGAATATATGTTAGGACATTCTACTGCGGCCCTCAGTCAGTTGACTCAAACGTGACCACGTCTAATTGACAAGAATTTGCGACTGTGAAAACGTGCTTTTTGAAGACACTAGCTAACCCCTATTTATATGTTTACGATTGCAAGTAGAAAACCTTAAAAGCCCTACTTAGTAAATGTCCCGATCTTACAATATCAAATAATAGGCTTAAATGAACATGGAGTGATCTAAAATACTATGAAAAAACTTGACAGTGAACATCCCTTGAATCACCGGCTCCAAGGCGATCCTGTAAAACGCCATCTTTAAATGCGTTCGTTCAAAATAACGGCTATCGTTATATAGCCGTGCATTTTGTGATTCAAAAAGAGCACATCTCCTACACCTGAATTTCACAAAGTCTGTATGTGGTAATGTACAAAAATCAAGCACAACCTCTGCCGTAAAAATTGCATTGCGTTGAATCCATACGCAGCTAAGGCTTAGACTCAGCACAGGGCAGTGAGAATTTCTGATGCCAAGCATTATATTAGCCCCCTCCTCCCCAATTCTTCACAAAGTTGTTGATTGACATATGCTTTTCCTTCGACCTCATGACGAACAACTGTCACACATGGGCGCACTGAAATCGTAGTTCGGTTGTGGTTACTTGAGAATTCGCATCGTAGACAGAAGATTAAATTGATATATGATCAAGTAAATCTTTAACTACTTATTGATAGTAACGATACCTGTCGCTATGTGTTCATAGTATTGCACATATGTCAAATAGAGCGGCCGAAATTTACACCGGCCGCTGCACAGTTGCAATGCCCCCCACCCCAACAACTACATCACTATAGTCCTTGTTCAAGCCAAGAAACAATAAGGAGCTACCATTGACTTATCCGCAGAACCGAACTGCTTCATCTCAGCATTATTTTGCATGGGGCTAAATTTTTTGTCGAGTATGAGTGTTCATTGCGCACTAAAAAGGATAGGTAGAATAACCTAAAGATCGAAACAGTTACAATAAATCTTGCTAGCAGTTTGCTTCAATATATACCATAGAAAACAACTGGCTTACCTTCTGCAGAAGTGTTGTGGCTTCGAGGTATAACTTATTAGCTCTCTCTAGCTTCCTTTCATAGTGAAGTCGGATATCCTGTGCATGACGCATCTCCGTATTTCGTTTGCGCAGGAGAAGACTGGCTTCCTCTTCTTGGCCAGCTACAGACATCCCGAGCGGCCGTAAATTGGTTCCCCTTAGGTTTCTCATATACAAGCGGATCTCTTCGCGCCAATTGGCCTGAGTTGTGAAATAGGTATCTTTCGGTGTTGACAAAATTTCAACAGCCGCTATCTCCAGATGGCTCAAAATGTGTTTAAATGATGGTCGGTTTTGCGACTTGAGATTCCAGCACTGTGCAAGAAGGAGCTTGAAGCCCTCTGGACAGGACTTCGGTATAGGTAGAGCTAACCGGTTATTACCAACGCCGTAAATAACCGCCGATGAATCCATGTCCTTGTATGGGACTTCGCATGTGAGTAGCTCCCAAAGGACGACACCGTATGACCAGATGTCCACTTTTTCTGAGCAGGGCTCCTGTCGAATCACTTCAGGCGCCATCCAGGCTACTGTTCCTGCGAAACTCATTGGCGCGGCGTGCTCACCGAGCGTCTTGCTGATTCCAAAATCGGTGATTTTGAGAATATCATTGCACCCAATGAGTATGTTGGGCGACTTCAGATCGCGGTGTATTATCTTGTTTGTATGTAGGTATTGCATACCGGCTGCAATATGTTTCGACCAATCTACTACCGTATAAGGGGCGATAGGTCGACCATTATGTAAAACCTCGTACAACTGGCCGTTGGGACAATATTCCATAACGAGACAGTACACTGGCGATTTCGTGCAAACGCCACGAAATCGTACGAGGTTTGGATGGCTAAGTTTTTTTAGGTGCCGAATATCAGTGTCACCAATTTTATTCACCTTTTTCACCGCGACAAATTCTTCTCGATACGTACCAAGAAACACTGCGCCCTGTGCGCCCGAGCCAAGCCATTTGAGATCGTGGATGGCTTCGAAAGGAATCTCCCACGGGTCAGTAGCGGCCTGCTTTTCGGCCTGACGCGAGTTGATCACGTTCCACATCGGTCGCAAACATCCGAGCAGGCCACCTAGCCAGCTGGAAGGTGAGCCCCCTACTCCAACACCGTTACCTATTCCGGCAACTAAACCCGTCTTATAATTTCCACCGTTCATTTCATACGAGACGTGGATGTCCTTTCGGGGAAACGTATCCATCGTCTCAATACCAACCGGAGGCAAAGCGTGCCCGTGATGCGTTATGGACTCGGCTGCCGCAAGACTGTCAAGTGTGTCACGGCTAAAGTCTCGTGTGATCGAGTCTGGCGTGCAAATGAGGTCCGATTTAAAGGAAGCTTCCAAACTTGAATTCACGTAGAGATTTTGGCACAGCTCATCCTCACTAATATCGCCTTCCCCGACGGGCGGTAGCTGCCTCACGGCCAATTCGGGGTCCATAGTCTCTGCTGAGAACATTCCTGTTTAATGGTCGCCTCCGCCTAGCAGTTTTTCTTTCACCTGCCCCGTCGAATGGTGGTCGATCAACCGAACCGCTAGCGCTCTCTTCTTGGAATGCCCATGATTTTGCCTATCTTGCTGTTGTTATGGCCTCCAAACAGAGCGAATTCTTCGGTAGTTCAAGTTGGGTCGCCGATGTCAATGCCAAACAACACCAGCGACCCGACTTGTTTCACACTCAGCTCGACTGTACTCCGCCAGTCTGGAGAGACCCACGGGAACGAACGCCTTCGGACAATGCGCAGCTTCCGCACCAAGAACGCACACTTCGCGGCCCTTCCGTTACTTTTCACTTGGTAAAAACAGCATCAACTGGTGAGGAACCTACAACCCACAAAGCACGAACACATTTTAAAGCGAGAGGAAAAAATCGAGCTAGAGAGAGAGCGAGAGAGAGAGAGAGCGAGAGCAGCCAGTGGGTCCAGAGCTTAACGTTTACCGCTAAACGGTAAGCGTCGACTGGATCAAGTACTGTTAGTGTTGGCTAGTCGCTCATTCGTTTTTCTCTTTCGTGCTCTGACACTGGTCAGTTAATCCATTTAATCCGTTCCATGGGAAGTTCCGAACATCGCAAATGAATGGGCTAGGCCTAACCGAATGTTCGTGCTTACCTGCAAGATTTCTGTACCAGCAGAAAAAAATCATCCATAAGGTGGCGCTAAGATTCGATCGCTGACTGCACAGCACTTGAAACGAAACGGAGCGAGATCTCATACATACACACACGCACACCGAGCCTAACAGATACAGCAAGTTTTCGAAGTAGCTCGCAAGTCAACACCACAGCAGCCAATGCTGTGCGACTGTGCAACACACTCGCTCATAGCAGTAGCAGCTGCGACAATAGCAGGCAAGACAATACCCAGAAAGACTCCTCGTTGTGACGTCAATTCATAGTAAACACCTACATAGGTTGCTATATTGCGAACACTGCTACTACTGCTGCTGCTGCTACTTCAGCCACAGACACAAGCGGAAACTGGTCTAGCGAGTTGAAGATTTGAGCCCAGGCGATTGATGAACGCATTTCGGGCTATCGTGCGTTGTGCGGCTCCAGAAAGTACCGAAAATAGGAATATTTAGAGAAATAGGAATGACTGATAAAATTTGTATAATGAAATATAAATTATTGTTTTTTTTCTGATTATTGAAATTAAGTACGCATAGATTTAGATTTGCATAATAAATGAAACGAATTTAACAATGAACTATCAAAAAAAAAAAAAGCATTTAAACACAATGAATGTATTAGCTATAGTCCTCTTTCATCAAACAGTGCCCCAACTGGAATATGTATATTTTAAATAATATGTAGAGAAAGCTCAGCGAGTTCTTAAAACTAGCTCATTAGTGCGATAGATTAAAAAACTGCAGACCGACTTAATTACTCATGAAGCGATCATTCAGTTGCTATCTGCCTCTATTTATACTTTGAATGACCAATGCAGATTACGGTACACTAACAAATTTGTTGATAGAGCTATAGATCTTATTGTTTCTATTATGACAGTCCGATAATATATGGCGCGGTATTGGCGCCCGTATATGCAAAACATGTGCTAATAAGCCACTTGGGCGGTCATGTATCATATAATTCCAAGGTATAGCTGGCCCAAAATATAAAGTGTTCTTTCCATAACACGAATTCCATAATTAAATGCTAAAAAAAAAAAGTAGTCGTCAGAAGAAATTTCACACGACTGAGGCTTTCCACATTTGCTGAGTTGAAAGCTTTTTTTTTTGACAACTGCTGCCCTAGGTAACTTCGGCCTGTATCGTCAATGCCCGGCGACGGTTGAACTGACATATTAGATTCTTGTGATTATAAGCCGGGCTTAAAACTAAGTTTACGTTTATTTGTTAAGGACGGGTAACGTCCATTAGGCGGTATCGTAATACTACAAACGATTATTCTACGTTTGTGTTGAGTGGGAATAACTGTATAACAACAATGTTTACATCTTACGCTGCTCGATTCACTAAATAACGTGCGTCGCGTTCGACATCGACGTAATTTTAGCTAAAAATTTCATCCCCATATGTCCATCGAATAGACAAACATACGGCGAAACCTCAAACTTGATTTGTATAAAATTCTAATGGTTTGTATGAACAAGATCTTTTTTTTCACAACTCGTGGTATTTGAGTTGGCTTAATGTTTTTCATGAATTGTTTTGTAAATATTGATCAGAAATACAAATGTTAACAATAGTTTGTATTTTTAGTTATCCAAGGCTCATATCGTTAGTTCGCGTTCAACGTAGCCGGCTCGAACTGTAACGTTTGAAAGCTTAAAAAAGACAGATGCCAACTGGTGACAGAAAACGTAAATCAAACATATTATTTATTAATATTATTAATTAATTAAAAATAATATTATTATTGATTAATAAACAAATTATTTAATAGCTCTATAGGTGACGCTACGGACGTCCCAACCCGTAACAAATTACTTTTAACAAGTCAAGTAGTTTATATATATATAATCGTCTTTCCATTTCCCAATCGTATAACGTTACGAGACGAAATAGTAGGAACGAATTATTCGTACAATATAATCCACACAAAATAAATGACCTTAATCGTCTAGACCAATAGATTACGTCAGCATAGGTTTGTTACTAATGCGCTACCTTAAACAGTTTTATTTTTATAATGAGCTTTATTATTAACTGTGATTACAATATTATTTATTAAAAATGTATTATATATGCAGGGGGGAGGGCATGCTAGCCCGCCTGTTTCTAAATCGCTTTATTATGAATTCGCAATTAATAGACATTTCAGCCATACTCTGTTGCTAATTGCTACGGGTCCAGATGTTCGTCCAGTCGTTATTTTTATATATACACAAATACAAATCTAAACTGGAACCAGTAATTGATAATCATTAATCGATCAGTGCGTCGATAGCTCTCAAAGCCATACAACGAATAACACAACGGAAATCGCTAAAAATTCGTACGCATTTATTTCTTCAAGTTCACCGCCATTACCTAAAATGCATATTTTACAGTATCTGATCACGTTATTGATCCGAGCGACCATTGCAACGAATGTGTTTGTTACTTCACGTATAAACAATAGCCATAATGCAATAAGGCATTCTAGGTGCTGTCCTTTTGCACCTTATACGAAACATAGGCTCGTGGATAGCTTCAGCAATTTTACGACTATGAGGACAGGAAAAGGGAGGTACTGTTTCGCTTAACGTTTCATTTTGTCATTTGAGTGTAGATTCTTCTATTTCTTTATATTTATTCTATAATATACATGTTAGGACACAGATCGCATGGTATAGACGACCCGGATGCCTTTTGAGATATTGTGCGTTCGCATGTGCGCTTTATATACATCAGCGCTGTCGAATTTCTTTCCGCATGTATCACAAGTGTAAAATTCAGCTCGGTCGTCCCCACCAGATTTCTCAACACCTGTCGCGAACAGAGTAAAAAAAAGACTCGTCATCGTAGGCATGCAATGTAATAGAGAATAATAAAAACAACAACAACAACGAAATAGAATAACAGCCTGATAATCAAACCTCTGTGTATTTGTGTGGATCTGTGTGTGTATATGTGTGTGCGTGTGTCATCTAATTTGATCAAAAGTATCTTATTGACATAAAGATAACGGACTAGATTAAGCGTTTACATGAAGTATTATTAACTGACCTTGAAAAAAGCCGACTATCTCTTGCTGACGGCAGAATTCGTGTCGCGATTCCTGCACGTTCTGTAGTTGTTGCCGCTCCTGTGCGACCTCTCTCACGGCGATATACGTATTTGGCACCAAAGTTCTGGGCTTAGATCTCGACGATTCCCAACTAGCATCGGAAACTCTCCAGCTTCGTCGATTGTATCGAGTATTTGTGTGACTAGCGACCATGTGATCCGTTAGCTGTTTCTCGTTGAAGTATACCTATGATAAATAAGAATAGGACACGAATAACTCAATTATTTTAAGCTCAACCTCAATCAAGCTCAACATAATTTTAAATCTACAGGGTTAAAGGCCGCATCGGTTTGAAAAGACTTAATATAACAACATGTTTCAACATACTTAAGAAGAATATAACTGGCGTATTCAAAGCCCTATCTGTTTGTGATTTATTGTGAAGGCAGATCGTGAACACTCCACGAGCTGAAATGACAGAAAACTCAATCGGTGTCCAGTACCCGAGAACCACATAATATAATTTAACACATAAGCAACAAGCTGACTAGTACTATTTTCATGTAGCAGGCTTGCTATGTAGTACCCGTACTACCTCGGAACAAATGGAACATTGCAGAACGATCCCCTCTATCGCATTCTCTCCTTCCGGCTCCCAACTGACACCATCAACCGTTGCAGGAGCTATAGTCGTCGTTACAGGTGCTATTGTAGCCGTCGTTGTAGGCGAGGTCATCGTAGGCACCGTTCCCGGCACCGTAGTCGTGTTCGCAATAGCAGAAGTTACGGCGAGCTGGTTACTTTCTAATGGAGAAGCTACAGCTGAAGCCTCATGCTGTCGCGACTGCTCGTGCTGTTGTCTTATGTGTACTTTTAAGCCGGGCTTTGTGTGAAAGCTCTGACCGCACTCGGCGCACTTGTGTGTTGGGGTGGGACTCTTTCCTTGCGCACCTTTTTTTCCTGCTCTGTCCGCATTGTCATGGCGACGTCGGTGAGCCGCGAGATTCGATGCTGTCGCAAAGCATAAACTACAGCGATCACACGAATAGGGCTTCTCACCGGTATGAGTGCGAATATGACGAACCTATAGGTGGTTATAGACGACGGCAGCGTCGGTGGCGTCATGTGATTAAACACACATTAAACATTACAGGTCCGTAAGTATTCTAGCAATAACATTATGCAAGCAGTCTTTTCAGCGTTCATGACTGAGTAAATTCTGTCCAAGCAATAGCTTTTCTATCGCAGGAAATTTGCGTCGAGTTTATTCAGATCAAAACAAACTTTGCCGCACACAAGCGCTTATGACTCTCAAATACGATTAGTGTGTAAATGACAATTTTCGTGAAGAGAAAGCCTATTTGTTTTTCAAACTAGCCTGACGTACTGGGTTGCACAGATACCGAGAAGTGCAAAGGTTTCGTGCGGAGACGGTGCTCTTCCTCTGTCTGAGCAAATCAGTATTAAGCTGGTTATAAGATTTGAAGTCGATACTCACCAAAGTAGTATTAAATCGGAATGACTTTTTGCAATCGACACATGTATATGGCTTGACGTTTTCGTGTGTTTTGTTGTGCGCGTATAGAGTCGAAGCCGAGTTGAATCTCTTATTGCACAGCTTGCATTCGTAGTTTTTTTGATCGGTATGTGAACGTACGTGCACCTTGAAGTTAGCCGGATCACGGAATCGTTTATCGCACACAGCTAAAATTGAACATTTCAAGTCAGACGGAATAAGTTGCATCACAAGGGTATTTATGTAGGGCAAGCAAATTCATGACGGACATTAAGCATGGGGCGATCTAGATCAAAGGCATGATACCCTTCACGGCTAAGCGGCCGAAGCTAATCATATACATGAAAACAACTTATATCGTCACGCCACGACGTCAAAGCAACCATTTACTAGTGCTACACAGCATGTGCCTTGACAGCAGCTTTGCGATGATGTCTCACAGTTACAATCGGTGCTCAATAAACGGACCCTAACAAATTCAATCAAATAGTCTCAGTTCTCAAGGCCAATTCCACAGTAGCTGAGCGAGATATTTTCTAGCTGGTTCTGGCCTACCAAAGCGATGGTTTAACGCTGGTTATGCCCTATCGACATGACAGAGACGCCCGCGGAGTTCAAAAACTGCTGACAAAGGACGCGATATGTAAAACTGCTTCATCATATTTCACGTAGGCATGATAACGTGCTGTAATTGGACTTCTGCAAGTTTAGCATCCAATTTTCGCTCCAACAGTTCGAGTTATCTCTAGCCGGCACGTTCTAACGCAATTGTGTTCGGCGCTGAACAAGCAAGCGGTGACGTTAGGGTTTGAGTGTTTTTCAATGATTCTGTGTGCTTTCGTACGTAAACTGTCGAAAGCGGGAAAAAGCACAGATGTTACTGGCGAGCGTAGAACTCTGATTGAAGAACTACTTTGTCAATTTCGAATTTTTAAAAAAAGACTAGGTACTTCCCCTATGAAGTCCTCCAGAGTACGTTGAAAGACCGTGGGCTTACCGTGCCAAAACAACGTTTCGCCGCCGACTCAAAGGGGCTAGGTTCAAGGCTAGTGAACCTGTTAAGAAACCTTGGTTGAATGTTCGAACAAAACGAGCCCGTTTTCATTGGACAAACCAAGTTGAAAATTGAACCGCCAAGAATTGAGAAAAGTCTACTTTTCAGACGAAAAAAACGCTTGTTGTGCCTTCAGGCATGTTGATGAGCGGCTTATTGAAAACCGCGTCCTGCTGGAAATCAGACATCCATCCAAAACTCTGATGTGATCTATTATCTCTGGCAAAGACTCTGGAATGATACATTTCGCACGGAAAAGATTAAAGCAGTAGATATATGTTGAGGTTATAGAGAGCAAGATACTGTCTCTGGTGCGAGAATGGTTTCCTGACGGTGATTAAGGCACAATGAGGAGCCTTTTCATAGATCGCCAGATATCCCGAGGCTAGTTGGGACCTTCAGCTGTCGGCCTGTTGGCAAATATTAATTCTATAGAGAACGTTTGGAAGATTGTAAAATCATGTGTTCGGAAAGGGCAGGAAATAACAAATGTTCCACATCTCTGTGAAAAAAATCACCAATGTGTGGCAACAAAATTCATTCATAGCTGAAACACCGAAAAACTGTATCAAAAGCATGCCCCAAAGAGTAGCAGCGGTTATCGGTTCAGAAGGCCATGCCAAAATACTGATGTTCATAACTATATCACATCATTTGTCAACAGTTTGAAAATATTTGCCAAAGTAAAATAATACCACTTTCATTGGCCAAAACATTCGAAATTATTCCGCTTTAGTGCTGCGCGATTGGTCTTGAAAGTCGAAACTGTTCAAGTGGGTTGATTTAAGCGTATTTGATCTGTGTATCTTATGAACGGTTGGTTAAGTTCGCCATATCCGCTAGCTGCTTCCAACAGCTGCGATAACGTAGTTGTTTATTCCATGAATCAAAGAATTATTTTATACACTCACGGCAATGGAATGGCATTTCGCCAGTATGTCTTCGTATATGTACTGTCAGTGAAGTTTTGTGTCGAAAACAGAGGTTACAAATAGGACAAGCGAACGGCCTTGCTCCTGTGTGTGTTTGCTGATGCCGGCGTAAATGGAACATTGAATTAAACGAGGCGCCGCACTCGTTGCATTGATGGACTGGACCGTCCTGACGCCGCACCCCTCTTGCACCGGACGTCGCTATAGGCGTCTGATCTGCCTGGGTAAGCTAGAAGGACATGAGCAAATCAGAAAAGGAGTTCACTGGAGCCTCTATTGTATGCGGTCTTAGCTATATAGCTAATAATGACGACACTACTGATCAGCATGAAAGTTTATCATCTCAGTTATTCCAGACACCCTTTCCTTCTTACCTTCTTTTGAAGCACCGACATAACGACCGAGTTCACTGTGACAGGACCACCCATGGCGGCCTTTACATGATTGTTGCCAATTCCTGTCGTCTCCTCGGCACCGACTTGTATTGGGCCTGAATCTACTGACTGGACCATCGTGGATACGTGGTCTTGAAGAGCACTTGTGCCTGTCTCATGAACCATTGAAGCTACTGAGGTATTCATAGTGTTAATAACGGGCGCGACGCCCTCTACCACCGGGCTTGGATGGGATCCAGGAACGACTGAGGGCAGTTGATAATGGGTCTGAGAATGACGGCTGTCCGAATGACCGTCCCCTGTGATCATAGCTGATGCTATATCACTGCTGTTATTGCCTACCTCAGATATTGCGCTGCCGACTTGAGCCACCTCATTGACAAGTTCCTCTCCAGCCATCTCTATTGACATGGTGCCGCCCACTATAATGAGACAATATAGCGATAATACAATGTGTCACTTACCCACAAGACCTTTGTACTTACCTAGTACCTACTTAGACCTAAGTTTAAAACATTGTCATCATTAAAATAGGTGAGAGGCTCTTCGATATGAAAAAAATCACTTTGTCTTCTTACAAATGAGAGTTCGCACCTTCTATGGTTTGAAGGCCTGCCATAGGTGTTGGTGCAAGCTCGATATGCTGTACATGATGCTGCTGGTATTGACATTGGCCTGTGTCCAGCGCCTGCACCTGCAATCACCACACAGTTCGAGATGTTCAATATACAATGCTACCAATGAAAACGAATATAGAACATACTCCGGGATAGGAAGTATCTTATACATCGCTTCCTACAAAAATCAGCTATTCTAAGATTAACGCAAGTGTATCCTGTAACGTTTCTACCAATCTCTACTAAACTATACATCATTTCTGTTATATACCATTTGTTTAGTTGCAAAACAGCGGGTCTATTCAGTGCGCGCCAGACTTCAATCATAAACGGCAAAACTGTCACAACAGTGTGCAGCCAGTGTTCCTACCGTGCAATATTTACCTGTAATACTGTAGGATCCGCCGAATGCGATTGAAGGAGCCAGATCTCTCCGCGCTCCTCAAATCGGTACATGACAGCTCTGCCGGGTCGAAGGTGCTCGAGTGTTTCGGGAGCAATTTTTACATCCATCTCTGATAAGCTTGCTGTACTGCTGTGAACAACCGGTTGGGACACTATTCCACTGCCCATCACCACGGGACAGACATCCCCATTGGGTAATTGTAAAGACTTCAATATGAAGTGAATAAAGGCCAAAATATATGCATACATCTTAGATCCATTCGAAAGCATCTAATTCAAATTCTGCCGTTAGACGTTACTTAGGTCGGCTAGCTCCCAACACGAAATGAAGCGTATTCACGCCTATATTCAAACCTAGGCCTGATGGAATATGTGGACGTATGCCTGCATTTAGTAATTACCGCCGCGCTATCTCACAAATAAAGAATCTAACAAATGCTAATAAAACTACTCATATGCCGCCACATCGAAATAGAGAACGAGAGTATTTTAGCTCAATGGATCGATGATTTATGATGATTCAAGTATAAATAAGCATGACATGATTTTTCTATTAAAAAAATGACCTCACCACAATGTGTTCACCTGATGTGTGTTCCGTTGACAATATACTGTCAACTTCATTACCTTCCGCATAACCAAGCTGAAACGACTAAGAAAAATATTTCTATCAATAGATTTTTTGTACTTAGCACTTCGCATTAGTTAATTTCTGATCATTTACTCAACATTAATTTTCAACGTTGAACGCTAACTAAGAAACTCAAAGTGAATATAAATTCCAGAAAAGTTGATGATAAGACAAAGTACAATATAAAAGTCATACAGAAAACTTGTGTATCGTACCTTTTTTCTAAAGTATCTTAACCTTTTCGATAAAATGACTAACACTATTGATTTAGCTATTCAGCATCGGAAGAATAAGGAAGCAGCTTCGTTAGAACATTTTAAACACTCAACTGATATAGAAAACTACACAATGCCTGCCATTCTATGATTACAATTATACGGAAATCGGGGAATGTTTAAACAGTCCGTTTGACCTATAAGATTATTTCTATGTTCAAGGAATAGACGTAGATATTTTCAGAACGTAGCTATAATCTTGGGTCCCGAAAAATGACCGCACTGATTAAACATCGAATGACCATATTGGAACGAAATTTATAAGTCAAGTGGCGTTTCATCATGGCGTTCATTTTTTTCAAAGAGCAGAAACTGATACCCCCGCAAAAAGCAACAACGCATATTCCCAATTTGAATATTCAATAAATAGTTACTACGAAAATATTTGATCTGCTAACAAGTTGTTCATCGTTCTGTGGTAACCAAGTGTGTTGTATAAACTCCTCACGTCAGGCGGATTTACTACGATCTGGCAGTTGATCTAATAGGTAACGTATTGGTATCCAAGTTATCTTTTAATGGGACCGTTAGTCGTCTATATAATAACTCTGCATACTTTTTTATTACAAGTTAGCCTGTTTTACTTAGCAGTGTCCCTTCATGAGTGCGTGCCACGGTTTTCTAGGATTACCCTATCACTAACACGGAATGCCCTTTTGTCCCTTTTTTGGTGCTGTACACATTTCATTTTTAATATTATAATACCACCCCGGATGCCGCTATGAAACGATGCAAATTTTTGCCCGCTAATATAATTGAAGTTGCCACTGCACTTAATTAGTTGTTGCAAATGGCATTACAAAATCAGCTGGCTCAATCGACTGACGGCCTAACCTTGTCACAGCTGATCGCTGCAGCTTATGGTTAGCAAATGATCTGTCCTAATATCATTCGTTTTCCGTAACAGCAGTTTTTATATTCTAAGGAGCATGAGTCGTATACATTTAATGAACTTTCTCAGTATGCTTTAGCTTTTCTCAGCCGTTTAATGATTTCGTGAGCCAATTAATTAGTCTCAATTCCGGACAACCTTAGGTGCAAAGTTGATTCAGAGAAGTAAAGTCTGCACCTGGTATCCGTCAAATTTCATCAAAGCGCCATTCGTGGTACTAAAAAATAGCCCAGTGTTGTTAACATACAGTTCCATCTCGGGCCCCTGTATACTGGCCTCGCCCGTATTATCGACCAGTTTGTCGGGCCAAAAGCCGACAACAGATAATCAAGTTGCCAGACTTCCGTCCAACGAAACAAATCCCTCAAGGAAGGAATAACGAACCAATGATAAATTCGAGCGGCCACTTACCTCATCTGTTCGGACATCCATGCTCTGGTGGAGTCAGGCCACGGAACCCGGGTACCCGATTAAGCTTTCTAAAGAAATATTTAGCTGGAAATTGGCCAAACAGTTATTTTGCTCTTACGAACGGGAGGAGATCGAGTGCACAACAGCTAATGCCATGTCTGCAGTGTTGCCAGGCTGTCTTGCTAATGCTATGGACCTGGCAAAATTATAGGGATGTGAATTATACGAGAGTACTAAATCAGTCGAGGATTGCTGAAGCATTAATATAATTCTGAAGAAATCAATATAGCTCTCCGAAATTTTGAGTGAACCTCTTGGCTGTTCTGCTTGGACATGGCACAATAGTAACATTGCTGTTGGTTATTCTGACAGAAAAGCGGAGCTAAGCTACACTTGCGGGGATCTTCCTGCGTGTAGCCATAAGATAGAATGCGTGGTTTGAACAATAATGCGCGGACCAAAGTCATGTCAGGGCATAAGCAACAGAATCAGTTCGACCTATCCAAAGATAGTTAGTTTTGTAAAATTTTACTTTTTGAGTTAGTTGTTTTAATGTTAAACGTCAATGGTAGCATATCCTAAAACATCGTCAGGTTCAACTCAGCGGATATGTCATACTTTATACATTCGTTGTAGTAGGGAGCATCTCCTCCAATTCTTAGGTTATACTGACTGGCTTATGCTCGAAGCTCATTAAGTAACAGCTAAAGAATACGAGATATTTCCAAAGAAAGAGAACTAGAAATGGATATTATTGTTAAATCGACGAATATAGTGCTGCATATAGAATAACGTTAAATGTCTTTTACTATACTAACGTTGCTCTTATGATACAGTGGATCACGTTGATTGAACCATTAAGCATCACAGTATTACGTGCATTCTGCTGTGCCAATAGTTTCCTTGCTTTGACTATCGATATCGACATTCAATATGTCGTACCTGACCTTTGTGATAATTTTTAATTTTAGTTACCCCATAGTTCTTAGCAGTGCATATTTTCGAAACACAGTTTTTTTTACATTTATACAGAAAAAAAGAAACAAAAAATAATTGTTTTTTAGAAAATGACTTGAGTATTTTATTCAACAGCCGTAATTATAATGCTAAGGGTACTATGCATAACAAATAAAGCTAAATGAACACGCTCTCTAATTTGTATTTTGCATTTTATTATTATTTTGCATTTTATTGTTTTTCGTAATGTATGTAATCAAAATGTTATTTCTGTTTATTAAATAATAGCCAATAAAGTTTATAATTTTTATACATCAGAACCCTTTCAGTCCGACGTACGACGTAAGTGAGCAAATCATGGGGGCAAAACACAGATAGTGCAACGGTCTGATCGTCTTGGCGACGTCCTGTGTGAAATTGTGTAAGATTGTAAAGCATGTTGATGGGAAAGCTTTATTCATACATTAACAACGGAAATGTAATCATATTGAAATGGTACAGTTACGGCATTAATTAAATGGTTTCCTCAGCAACACACCGATCACTTTTCACTTGGAAGTGCTTAGATCGCGTCCACGTTAATAGCGAAAATAAAATAACAAAAAAAAAACATGAGCACACAAAAATTGCACCACACTTCCGTGTGAAGACCCCGTCGTCTGACTAAATAAAAGCCTTTCTCACAAGTTACAGCTGCCCCATTGTATTCCAGAAGTTAGATCTTTTGATTCGTCACTTGATGCAAGTATAAATAGTTACGTAATAGCCTCTACAACAATAAACAATGACAAAGCGGTCCTGCAGCTTTCTTCCCGCATGTCTTGACATTTTTGTTCTAAAATATCTAGCCGTGTGTTTATATAGCACTACGATATATGAACTATATATTTGTGACTATATTTGGGAAAAAATTGCAGTCATTTCACTCTCGTTTAAAAAAGGAATATATATATATATATATATATATATATATATATATATATATATATAGCTAAATGGCTAAATGCAAGTCAATATTATTAAGAAAAAGAGGGCGGTGGACAGGACATGTTCATGCTGTGAACTCGAATGTTGCATTGGATGAAAACTTTTCTGTGGTTACTCAGAGGTGTGAAGGGATAAAAAAGAAGCGCATCGGTAAAGATAGTTCATGGTTCTCGGATGACTCCGAGAACGATGACAAACAAGCTCTTCCGACGCTGAAAAACCTTCATATCCTGTATCCGATAGCGTGATTGCAAGAGGCAGTGGTGACCTGAAATAGACCGTGCATTGTTATTAGCATTGCGCCCTTACATAAACTCCCCTTCCGATAGTAGCTGTCGCGATCTAGACTAGATTTATACAATATCTGTTTAGTTATAAGAAGTATTCAAACGATGCGTCTTTGCTAAAAACCTATATCTCTGTGATGGCGATCATCATTATCTTTTGGAGACGCATTTCTTTATATGAATGTTACTTTCCACGTACCTTTCTATTAATGGTACTTAACATCGTAAGACTCTCCAACACACTGTAATCAGACAAGGTGTTTCACAGTTGATGGCCACGAAATTATCTCTACTCTTTCTTTTTGGCGGCTGTATCTTTGTTGTCTTTAAGCCCACTCCCGGCGGCATCTCCTCCCTTGTTGATTGCCCTTGAAATTGCGTCCCAGATTCCACCGAAGAATATGGCACAAGCAAGATTCTCGAACGGAATGAACGGATCGTGCAAACCTTTGAACAAAAACGAACTCATGAAAAACGCGCTAATTTACGAGAGGATTACTTGCTAGCCAAATCAGCTACTTAGAATATCGAAACAATGCTTTCAAGTTATATTCATCGACTTTCGGGAACACAAATGTAGTAATGGGTCAAGAAAAGATCTAACGAACAATAACAGCTTGATTGAGACACTGATTGCGCTTACCTAGGACGACCGAGGAAAGCTTAAAATAGACAAAGAACACGACGACGCCGAAGTACACAAGCGAATGCGGCGCCGAGATAAGATCCGTCTTCTTGTCAACGACAAAGACAAGAGAAGCGATGACACATGCTTTTGTTGCAAATGATGGCTGCATGATTTCCATAGCTTGAGGCGTCCAGAAGCCACGAAGAAGCCGTTCGAACACCTTCAGAAACGAGGTTCCGTTACCTGTTCGCAAATTCGAGCGCGCAAATATCAACACGCTGTCAACAAAATTCACTAGAACCGTATAGACAAGTTTGGCAAGCTGGGTACTTTTAAACATGCCTCGAGCATCAGTAGACACTCGCAACTAAACGGTCCAATGATGATAGTCTAGATAGTGTCAGAACGGTAAATTTTAGTCATTTTCTTTCTACAATCCAGTCACTTGTGGAATTGTGAATTCTCGGTCTCCGTTGCTTTCACACGATAGGAAGTTCTCACAGGCAATAGCTCTGATTGCACAATAACAATGTTTACGGAACTATTGCGTAAGGGTTCAATACAGTTACTTTGGTGTTTCCACCGATGCGGATGTTGTGATCATACCTTTAACAACGCCAATGATGACCATGATAATGTACGCACTAGGATAAATTTTTGCGGCGTGATGCACTCCATCATGAACTTTCTTTGCCCTAGTAACTTCCTTTGCTAATGCGATAGCCAGTTTGATCGGCAGGATCTTGCAGAACTTATACACGATGTCAAATGGCGAATAGAAAATTAAGTACCTGGTAGAAAAACGAAGAAGTCTACCAGGTAAGCAAAGACAAGATATAGATTGTGCGGATCATAGAACAGATAATAGAGCGTCCCGATTGAAAAATAATATCAGTTATTAATTACAACAATTTTAGCTTTTATCATATGTCTAGAAATTATAGTTAAATAAAGATCCGATAAATGTTTTCACGGGGTAGGGCACCTACCAGCAGGCAGTAGCAAGAATAAGGCTCTGGTTGCTTTTGAGGACTGCGAGAACGGGCTCTCCGAGCAATAGGGCAGCAAAGATCCCTCCTGCATAGATTGAGAACATAGAGCTCACCCAGCAGGATAGTGGGTGTTTACGAGAGAATAGTTGCGATCCTGGAAAACCCCATGAAATGAAGCAAAGAGATTAAAAAAATTGATGCACAAACGCCGACGATTGTGCTCTGCATAATCCATTGATATGCTTTGTATTAAGCAATCTGATACAGTCGTTGAATTAACTCATCCTAGACTCCTGGACTTTTCATGGCCTGCTGGGTAAGACGAGCGTTGAATACGACATCTATTTAAGGTAGAAATGATACTGACTTATCTTCTGGGATGTTGCATTCTTGCACTCAAAAACCTGTTATCTGAAATATTGCTTATATAGGAATTCAGCTACTTCTGCATAACTAAATAATTGGGGGCAATAGTGCTTCCTATATGAGTTGTTTCCAATTTTCCTTTGAAAATTTGAAATGGTAACTGACTGATTCTTGCTAGTGCACTTTATCCCTTACATAATTTGATTATGACATCGTTCGTAGAGCTGTTCAACGAGTTAGTTTAATAATGAAATCTTTAAAAAAATTAATTGGAATAGCTTTCTGTGCGGTAATTGAAATCACGCCGAAATAGGATTTAGCAGACGGCTGATCATAGGTAAAACATAACTGAACATAGGCAAGCGTATATGAAAATTAGCTTTAAAAATAGTGGTCTTATTCTGATTTTCCTATTCTAGGTAACTATATATATAGATCAAAGCAAGTTTCGGTTTGTCATATTGATGGCTCTGCTTACGGTTTATGCATCCCCATAGCCTTCATTATTATTGCTTAGATACATTTTTATCATTACTACTAAACCCTAAAATTACTAAGTTTTGCTATTCGAATCATTATTGCACAGTAGCAAAATAGCATAACAACGTTAAGCTCTATGTTTGGCTTTTTACTTATGTTTGTCATTATAGCAGATTGAATGCACTTTAAACAACTAAGTTCTGAGTTACTATTCTATCAGCAGTGCGATTTGGATAGAAGGAGCTAGGCGAGTCCTCTATTTATTGTTGCCTACGTTGCATATTCATGCTTTGCAGATAGTTTTATTGATGCAATTAACGTTAGTTTGTTAGGATGTAGTACTGCAATGTACGCATGGATTTACCACCGAAATTAATAACAAGTTTTTTTTTTGTTCAAGAGAGAACACGACAACCGGAGACCGGTGCTAGAAAAATATTCTATTTTGCAGGCACTTCTGTAAATTCTTATCGAATAACATTTTTAGAACCAAAAGCATCACTTTTGACCGGGCCTATTCTTACCTTTTATTTTAGAGCCAATGAATAGATGCAACAAAAGTGCGCTTGTTTTTGGAAATAGTAACTAAATTATATCTCACGAATTTTTTTAAAATTTATTTTAGAGCCCTTATTTATAATGATAGCATTCATATTTACATGGTGCAATTTGTTGTGAGTCAAGGGATAATTTGTAGTAAGTTGAGACCACTCACAAGCGTGATTTTCGTACGATCTATACTTTTTCATTTACAAAAAAGAAAACGGGTATTTAACACAGGTCCACGCGTTGCATCCATTCAACTTGAATAATGTAGCTCACTGACCGAGGACTAAAATTTGTATTACATGTTCCGGTCGTCAGTAGCATACCATGTACTGTTTCCACTAACGACCTCGGCTAAAAAGCGCCTTAATGGTACAAGTTTTGTTGGCACCGGACATTGCGGCCCTGTATAGGAATGCTACGCTGCCAGGGTCAGTTAGTGCGGGTAGCATCAGTGTTTTCCAAAAGCGTCTGGTGAACGTTCAGGACATTACGTATCGTCGTGAAGAGCTTACCAGTAGCTAAATCATATAAGCCCGTTTATATATTGTGCGAATAATAGCTTCCGCTTTTGGAAGCATGATCATTTGAAAAAGGCACTAAACAGCGGTAGCCATTAACCTTTCGTTAGCTGATTGTGATTAGAGCGTGCCATTCAGTCCTCTATCGCCGTTTTGCGCACACAGACACACTTATATGTGGGCGTCACATAAATATAAATCTGCAAACTACGAATCAGTGGAACAGCTGAAGGACAAACGCGCACATAGTTTTCTTCTTTCTTATCGAAATATTGCATTGCATCGTCCTATGAACCTGAGTCACTGGTTCACATACCGGTTCCTAGATCTTCACGAAGATATAGCAGGGTAACGATGCAATGCGCTAACTCGAAGTATGGGTACATCTTGAGTTTGCTAACATGGTTAGCAATTTCAAGAAACGTTTCTGGATCCATGTTGACTTAATTTGCTGTTCGCTCGACGGCCTTGTCTGGGCCTAGCTTTGGCACCACAACAGTTGTCGAACGATACCTTCCCTACTACTGAGCGTTGGGTATGTTAGTCAAACTGGCAGCAGCTCGCAGACCCAACTCCGCGCCATTGATGAGTTCCGCACGACTCGTTTATTACATATGCAGGTGAGCCGCGATTTGCTTTGCTGATGAAACATTCGAATGCTCCAGACGGAGCATTTTAAATTCGGCGCCGCGGCTCCGAACCCCTAATTACCAAAAAAATTGTCGTTCCACGTTTGTTTTGTACCGCAATAAGTTTATGTGAATTCGATCTTGTGCTTTGGCATACAGCTATGTATACCTAAATCGCAAGGTAATGTAAATCTGTTTTTTTGAAATATCGAAAAAACGTGTTCAGAGTCGAGTCTGCCAATGTTCCTGGTGGCGGGCCTTCCTAAAAGCGAGTAGTTTCGGTTTTGGGAAATCTTATGTCTTTTTGGTTCCATTGGCGAGATGGATAAGACTACGCTTGCACGTGTAAGTAAATTTTCGATATAATGTCATTGTAAATTGAGTGGGATGGATTGTAATTAAGGGCGTAAAAATCTTAAAAAAGTCTGGAACAGCGAATATTTGACGAGAAACGAGTGAGTTAGTGTTGAAAGAAATAGCCGGGTTTACCGGTTGATTGATGTTTACTGCTGCTTCACTACTGTTGCTAGCAGCGAAACGAGGACAGAAGAATAGCTGAACAAGCACCTATTGAACTTACTGGGTGTGAACTGCAAGTGTGTTGTACTTCGAATGCTCTAGTCAGAAAAATGTTATCTAGCATTAAAGAGTCGAACGCTATAAGTAAATAGCATCTGTATACGCTGCTGTGATAGCTGTAGCGCGTCGAGAATGGCAGTAGACCATCTACAATAACGTACGTCGACCATTTCATGTAAATATTAACTTAATAAGTTTGTGATATACGTGTGACTTTGATAGGTTACCAAGCTGTTGGGCCGTACCGGCTCGCAAGGCCAGTGTACTCAGGTCCGCGTCGAGTTTATCGATGAATCCAATCGTTCGATTATTCGTAACGTCAAGGGCCCGGTTCGTGAGAATGACATCCTAACACTGCTCGAATCTGAGCGTGAAGCAAGAAGACTTCGGTAAAATGGTTCTGTCACTGAAATGGGCTGTCGGTCGTGTTGGAGCGTTCTCCGTAAAGAGGACTACGCACGGAAATAGTGGCAGGAGATCAAGGAAATAACTGAAGGCTAGGATGTCAATAATAAAGAGGAGTACAGTCTTGTGTCGATATAATAGTTTTTTTTTACGAATTAGTTAACCATAATGTAAATACCATAAGGGAATCGGTAGTGGGTTGTTCTTTTTCTGTGAAGATAATCGAACACTACTAATATAGATTTATGCAACGTATCGAATTTGAAGAACGTTGTCTAAAACATTGAATAAAAAATGTTTTTAAAAATGAAACTAAATAAAAATTAAAATCGGTGATAAGTAATTAAATTTACATTGAACCAATGCACGTATTATTTTTTATATAAATTTTTCAATATAAATTTTCATATTATGCTGTAATAATTTATCGACTTCAATCTCAAACATATTTCTGATTGGTTTTAAGGGAATTCAGAGCTCACATTTTACACAAGATGCTGCGATAGTACTATATCTAGTATTGAGACTGTAATCGAGAATCCTTGACTCAAAATCAAATAGCCTACTCATTTATTTTCAGTGATGAGTAAATGTTTTTTTTTTTGTATTGCCCGTTAAAGTATCTAGCCAATGTATTTATTTCGTTATTTTTTCGCGCTAGACTTTTATGTTATAGCAAAGTCGATTTCCCTGAGTACTTAGAATGTCGATTTGCTCTACTTTGGACGTACATGTATCTGTCTTTCTCTTCAAATTCCTAGCTTACAACGCAACCACAGTGATATCGCAGAGGCAGCGAATTTTATCAATGACGAGCTGAGTAGGCTTTCGAGAAAGTCATATGCTACACCTTTATCACCGAAGTGAAACATGTTACTGAAGACTGCGAACCAATGCGAGGGAACCTGCGCGATTATCCGTAGTGTTGGGTTAAGATATCGGGAAAAAATTCGTTCAATGGTTACCAGTAGGTAATTCGTCGAAGCCTAGATTAAAATGAGCACTGAGAACCCGTGTCAAAAACAGGCGAAGATCAAGCATACACTCGACGTGAGCAATTGATTGCCTCAACGCAATGACCCACAAATATAAACCTCGGTCAAAGCTATGCCATACGTAAGCACCAGACGCGATTCGAAAGGCACATCGGAGCGGTTTAGATAGTGAGATGCCTTCGAGGCGCACGGACTCCACGCCTGCTCTATAGATGAATAGGTACTTCACGTAAAATCGCGCCATCAATGTGACAGTTGAACCGAAGTAGTCAGGTGCAGTTATGCTAGAACGCAAGTGCAATGGCTGAATGCAATGAACGAGATTAGGAGGGTACGATCCGTAAATTCAATAATGAAAAACCATATAAACAGCCTCAAGACGGCCATAAAAACTAACTACAGAACTATTTTAGAATGCCCTGGCAATTTATCAGCGGTCCAGCACACATCGATGAAAGATAGAGGTGGTAACAGTACTGATATCACCTTGACATCTTGCAGAGTTCAAGCCCAAACGATATTGCCCCAAGGCACGACCAAGATGCTGGTATTTCAAATAGAAGAATCGTGGTCTCCTCTTTGTCTGGACAAGATACTCCAAAGAGTTGAGGCAGTCTTCCCCTACATATGATGACATAAACAAAAAAACAAGTTCATTATGCATATGAGGGTCTTGCTCCGAATAATGCTCGCCACCAAGGGCGCACCAAAGATTCCAACTAGGATAAACGTACGAAGCAATCCAACATGCGACAGTCAAAAATACCAATGATACAAAGCATCGCAAATGGACGCGCCCTCTAATCGGGATAACGTTGGAGATAAGGCTTTCCAGTCTGATAGTCGCGATGTAGTATTTAGCTGCTGCTTTAACGACTAACCATTCTGAGTCTGACGTATCGCTCACTTTGAGGGTCCCTCTCACTAAGCAAATCATCTTCGTTCCTCTAATTGTAGTAACGCTGCGTGCTGAACAGTGTAGTAATACTTTACTAAAACCGATATAACAGCAACGTTTCATATACAGGTGCTGATTCCATGAATCGCCGCTCGAGCCACCCTGTAATACAAAGTCAAAATCATCGAAATAAATTGATGCGACGAGAAAAACAACGTGTTGTGAAATATCAGACTATAATCTTGTCGAATATTTCCAAGGACTTACACATTCTTTTTCGTAGAAACTGGAATGTAATCCATGTAATGCAATGTAATGGAATAAGAGTAGTGTTTATTAAATTTGTAACGTGGCATTTTTCTGCTAGGAGAATAATAATCAATTGCGATATCGCTGTCCAGTTTACATGAGCTGGAGCGCGGTTGGTCATCTAAGAATGATTAAGCGTGACCCCATCAAACAAATCAAAGCTCTGTCGTTATTAAATAGCGTGGGCTAACAGGGTAACCTCAAAAGGTTCCTGTCGCGGACTAAAATTTTACCAGCGTTTGTTTGAATTAACGTTTAGAAAAACAATTTAAGTATTACTAACATACAGTTAATTTCTTCAAAATTATTATTCAATTCATCTATATGCATAGTGCACGTTTGTAGTATAACGGTCGTAAATTAGAGGAGCATTATCGACTGTCAAGCTCGCATGGAAACAAATATATGCAAGTAAAGTCGGACACAAATAGCGACGTATAAAGAACACTTGACAAATTTAGTAAGCTACATGTAAAATGTCAAAAACTATCAATCAAAGCAAGCATTGTGATTACAAAAGGTGATTAAACCAAACAACCCGGACACGCACTAAAGGTAGGCCCGTGCAATTTTCCAAAAAAGTCATTGATACGTATCTTCTAGAATACTTATTCCTGGCTTGCTAATTCATGTCCTGATGCTCGAAGGACGGTACATGTACTCGTTTTAAATGAAACCATTTTTACTTGAATTTCATATCGCGCTGAAGATTGCCGAAACCGATGAACCAATAAATCATCGGCAGTGCGCAAACAGACATTTCGACTCCACCAAATAGCAGCAGAGTTTTTGTTATCATCAATATATGATTGCGGCGGGGCTGAGACTCTAGTAACAAAAATCTATTACATAAATGATTCTGTTTACGTTTCCACTCCCGGAATCAATATTGGTACTCCTGCTAACACAATCTAACAGTACTCTTTGATTACCTACGCATAAGCACCGATTTCGTTTTAAGCCGAAGTGCCAAACAAACTATTTTGTTCCAGCTCCGGCTTTGACAAAGAGGTGTTAGAAAGGTTAACTTATACATTCACCTTTTCCGTCTCATATGCTGTTACGGTTCCGAAATGCGTGGCGAAGATAATCCAATCGGTGCGTACGGACGGCAAACTTTGGCGTTATAAGCAAGGGCTGCGGCCATCATGCAAGAAAGCTATCGGGAATGTTTTTTGTCTGTATTGGGGGAAATTGGAGTTCCCTGTTACATGAAAAAACCAGCACATGTGTTGAATGACACGTGTTTGTTATCTTTGTTGCAAAAGGAGCTAAGAAACGCATTCCAGTGACTAAGCTTGAGAATAAATGGCGTAGCGCGTTATAAGCAGCGGATAGTCGACCAGGTGTAAAACAGCGCCATACCAATGGATTCTTCGTAATGAGGATATAAAGAGAGATGAACATTTAGCCATTTCCCTACGTCGTCCACTACTTAAATAGTGTAGCCCTATAAATACGTTCAGCGTCATTTTGAAGCATCGTCATGCTTTATACTAAGAATTAATGATACCTTTAAACCACCTATGATCAACCCTTTATTAGGCAGAGATAAAAGCTGTATTAACACTTTTGCCAAGTTCTATCGTTATAATACGGTTTTCTAGGGAAAGCAATCCCAAATTTACGCATTTTATTCAAACAGAGATATTAATAAAAAATGGTAATTTTAGACCTAAATTACCTCTCTCGTTATGCCTAGTTAATGTCTGGCCGTGATTATCTCGATGAATGGTCATCAAAATATTATCCTGACTAAAGTCAATAGCTCTTTCCATGAATAATCAGAAAGCATATCGACACATTAACCTGTTAAATAGCCACTAAATAAGGCAATTATTGCAGAAAGCAGATTCTGGAACTATGCTATCTAGTAAAAATCCTAAATATAGTTCCTAAAAATGTTGTCGCTGTCAATGGATAAAGTGGCAAGAGTGAAATGAGTTCTAGGAAATTCGAAAATTTAAGACTCTTTAAAGAAAAGTCATTGGGAATGTACTTAAAATAATTAATTGTAGCATTTTTGTTTACATTTGAATAAAGGCCAACAGGTGAACTGGAAAGATATTTCTATAAAATCATATTGTTCG